CGGTGAGCGCGACCCTCGGCGGACGCTAAGATAGATCTGGTGGTGCTCCCGCGCACGCGGCGTGTGGAGCTGCCGGGAAGTGGACCGGCGAAGGCGCGCGCTTGCCGCCCCGCTATGCATGCTCGCACGCCGGCTCAGTAAGGGCTCTTCGGTGGAAACCCGATGTGGTGAAGTACGTGAGTCTGACGGATTGGATTCCGTGAGGGTGTTAGGGGCGCCCCGTGGCACCCCATGGCGGTTCTTAAACCGCCAGAAATCCAGCACTCGCCGAGCCTTGGCGGCCAGTCCATAGCAGTCCTTCCAGAAGCGTTGCAAGGAATCCACGATCGAGCTGCCGCCGCACTCTTCTAAGAGGGCGTCCACCTGCGCCATGAAATCTTCGGCCTGGGCAAGGCACTCCCGGGCATGTTCCATCGACTCCTGCTCGACGTAGAGCCCACGCCGGTAGACCACGATAGTGTCCTCCAACTTCGTATCTGCGCGGATGAGGTAGGCGTAAATGCGGATCCTCAGAATATTAAAGCGTGCCTCCAGAGAAAGTGCCGTGGTAGTCAGAACGGGCTGATGGAGTAAGTGTCGGCGACCGTGGCGAACGGACGACGGGGACGGAGGTTGTGGATGCTGATCGCCGCTTGCCACTGTCGAGGAGGAATGCGCTCGGTGGCGGCTCGACACACGCATCTGACTCCGCGTTGGGGTGCGGTGCTCATTGAGAGGCAAAAGATTGGATGAGAAAAGCGGGCCGGAAGACGATGCCGAACGTCGCTGAGAAGACCTAACCCTCGCAGAAGATTCCTGCCGTTTCCCCCCCCGCGCCTCTGAAGGGCGGGGACGCAGAGAGGTTGCGTCGTGATTGCCCTCGCCATCCAATTGCCCAGACAAGATCGCCATCGAGGGCTCCCTTGGCGTGGGTTTAGAACTCGAATAAGAATGGTAGTATCTATCCTGATATGGAGTGGCGGTCCTTGAGTGAGGGTGTTGTCCACTTTCATCTGCTGTTGTCTTCTTTTGGAGCCCGTGGAGGAGGGAAGGCCGCAGGTTCAACAGCGGCGGCTTCACCAAATGCTCAAGAGGGTTGGACACGAACTCACAGCTCAGGAGTGATGCAAAGAGACTTTGGTCAACTAAGATGGGGATGTTCCGCGCGTTAATGCTACGCGCGCCTTCTATGAACTGAAACAGGTCGAACAGGGCTGTCTGCAGGCCATCCTTGTGCACTGCCACCGCATTAGCTATATCCACGATGATGTAAAAGTCAACCGGAAAGGGTTTCATTCCATCCCCGTTCATCTCATACGAGGGTATGGACTTGCCCGATTCCGTAGTCGACTGCACCGCGACAAGTTCGCGAAGAGCCTCTGAAGCGGCTGCCGCGTTATCCGGGCCATACGCCGCCGCCGCCCCGCAGCGCATCACAATATCCTTATATTTTCCCCACGACACCTCCACCGCAAAGTAAAAGGTCTTTCCCTTAAAAAGAGAACCCCGATGTCGGCGCTCCATCACGGTAGATGGAAAGGGGAAAAGCGCAAACGGGCAGGTTTCAGGCTCCGGGCGGGTGTACTTGAAGGTCTTGAGACCATCAGCGCAACGAATTGGAGCCATATATTTTGATGGAGGTGGTAGCACGCTGAGCGTGGAGGATGGCTTCTGCGCAAGTGCCGCAAACCACTCAAATACATAAGTAGGCTGTACAATAGAGAACCCGATAGTTAAAGCCTGGAGGTTATCCCTCTCATCGTTGAGTTCTTCTGTACAGTGCAGCAGACCAACGGGGGTGGGTATCCGACTCAGATCCCAGGCTGTGCCGACGGACAGATCACATAGCGTCGCCCCAAACTGGCGGAACATAGCTTCCAAATCGTTAGAGTAATTATGGCCAAAAGCGGTGCGGCTTATGGAAACCACCAGTGGACGATACCGAAAGATAAGGGCTGCTTGGCTGCCCATCTCAACCCTCGTCCGATCCTGAATCAGAACGGACTTCCCGACACTTACGGGGTGTCCGTGTACTAGAATCTCTCCAATACCCATCGTGGGTAACGCGGTGAGCTGAACTACAAGAGGGTCGCTCTCCACCAGTTGCCATGGCTTTGATGACATTTCAGTGTCTTCAGTGTTTCTGTTTATTCTCTTGGAGGGCGAAGTTGTGCCGTTAGTGTTTGTGGTCAGGAAATCTTCACCATTTGAAGCCTTGTCAACATCGACGTGAGCAAGCCCACGCGCTTCACTCATCCGCATCACCTTCAGACTGGCATGACTTGATGAAATATCGAAGCACGGCAACACCACATCGCACTGTTGTGGAAGGCAGCCCACTATGTAGGGCTCGTCGCGCACTACAAGCGAAAAGTATGGAGCAGTGCCGGCAGGGCGAGTGACACTGAACTCCAATGAGAACATTCTGCGCTTTTAATCAAGGAAAATTTAATAAATATTTCTAAGTAAACGTATCGTCACCTAACCTTGTTGCTGAGATTTAAGTTTTTAATGTCACTAAATAGACCAGCACCCCTTCTACAGGTGATTTGATACTGTTAAATGAAAAGGACTACACTCCCTACTGAGACACTCTAACCTGCTACAAAGGCCTCTCGCACGTGGTCTTCAGGAGTCAAAAGAAAGAGGAAAATCAAAGGAGGACCAGATTTAAAAAAACTAAAAGTATCCAACGTATAAGGAATGTGTATCTATACTTTCCTTAGCTTCGTCTACTCTAAGGTGCCTTTTTTCCTTGTATGGTGAAATAATACGATTTGCCTTTTTTTAAATCTTTTGTTTTTCTGTTTTGAATATTATGCTTTAAAAGTATTCTACTGTGCAACACAAGTAACCGTTGCAGTAATTATATTTGAGGAATTAAGCTACTGCTTTAGCAAGAAAACATAGACAACAGAATGTGTGTAAAAAAAAAGCTAAGCCAGGATAAAGATTAACGTAAAGAGGGAGTACGATATCATCTCTACATTTTACTACGCATTTTAGAAATGCACACTTCCCCGACTACTTAAGCTTTTTTTTTTATGGCACCGAAAAGGAGAGATGGGCAGCCATATACCCCCCCCATTAAACAATTGAGTTTGCTGAACCCAACACATTATCAAGGAGTAAAGCGTTTAACAAAAACAAAAGAAGCCTCCGTAATGGGATGATCCTTACACAGGCTCCATGGAATCAAATCATATTGAGAGATTGTGAGTTCCAATGTCTTCTTAGGATTAACAAAAGGTTCCAAAGCAGGAAACAGACAACGATAAAAATGCGTTCAGGATTTTTGGTTCCTCTTTCTTTCTAAAAGAACTGTGCCCACGCATGTTGAATTAGAATAGTCCTCCCCTCCCCCCCCCCCAAAAGGATCCGCGAGGAGTTGATTTGGAACTCTAATAAATGAAGTCTATTTTCTAAGCGTAAGAGGGAATGAAAGATCCAGTTGGCGTAAATTGAACTTTTCTCAAACCCCTCGTGCAGGCCTCAACACCCAAAACTCGGCAATCGGTAACCCCACACTTTCTTCACTATTATTGATGTTATCCTTCGCTTCCCCCCTATAGGGCACGTCATTTTTTATTTGCGCTCGACTGGTAACGGCACTTTCGCTTAGTTTTACCGTGCGCATGTGTTTGGACTTCTGCCAAAGTGCAACAAAGGCCCACTCGAGGAATTTCTTACCTGGGCCGTACCTACCTACTGCTCCGTAATAAATACATGTCTCGAAAAAAAAGCGCTCTCCGTGGGGATCGAACCCACGACCACACGGTTAAGAGCCGTGCGCTCTACCGACTGAGCTAGGGGAGCCACGTCGTACGGAAAGGGTGGTGAGGGTATCGCTGCGTAATCATCACCCTTTTTTGTAAAAATTTCTTTCCCTCAACGCCATCCCCGGGGCGGCCGAAGCCCGCTTTGTCCCCTGGTCACGCGTGAGGGTCTTCATTCTTCTGCTTCTTTATTTCCTTCATCTCGCGTAGAAGCTCCCGCATACGGCCAAACAAGGGGTACTTATAACTTCCCGTAGCAACCGCGGCGAGCTCTTGCAGTGGCGCCTTTTTCACCACCACAGTCCGGTACGCCGCGATGCAGGCCTGCATAGTGGGTTCGTACGGCAGACGAAACGACGGCTCGGCACCAGCATCACACCCCAGATTACTGCTGCCGTTCGCCGGAGTTTGGATCGAACCGGCCTGCGCAGTGTCCTGGGCTTTGAGGAAATGCAGCTTCGCCTCCTGTGCGGCAATGGTGCCGGCAAGAACCGCCATGTGATCGACCTTCGCCTGGCGCTCGGCCTCGGCCTCCTGAACCTGCCTATCCAGCTCGCGGAGCGCGTCCTCAGGATCCTCTGTGGGGGAACATGGCTTCGTATCGCCAACGGGCGGGTTGGCCTCCTCACCTTGCTGCTTATCGCCGGCGGTCTGCCCCATCAGCTCCTTCCTTACCCTCAACCGTTGATGGCGGAGACGCATTTGGAGATCAAGCAACCGCTGCAACGCGTCGATGTGATTCTTAAACGTCTCCAGGTTCTGCCGCAGATCGACACAGAGCGCGTATATCGGGCCGTAGTCCTGTTGCTCCTCTAGTGTAGGGCACCCATTCGTTGGGTGAAACCCGTTTTCGGGGTTCCCAGCTTCATCGCGCTTCAACACGCCTGTTTGTCCCTCTGGATACATCGAGAGTCCCTCGGGCACATAATTCCACTCAAGATCCTTTATGGGGATTTGAGCGAGCTGCTCGGCGGTGAGCCCAACACGCGATGGCGCTGGTGGTGCGGCGGTCCCTTCGCATGAATCGCGCTCAAACGCCGTGGTCGGCAGCGGCTGTTCCCCCTCCCGCCTGCGCTCTGCCATCTGCGCCATAAAAGCCTCCTCGGACTCTCGCAGGCTATTGGCCATCTCAATTGCCGCCAACAACTTTGGCGACTCCGGCGGAAGCTCCTCGTTGGCGGCCCGCAGCCGTGTGGCCTCATAACTGGTGAAACAGACGTACTGATAGGTCAGCTTCCGCACAAGCGGGAAAAAGCGTGCAATAAAAAGTGGTCCCCCCCACTTCCCCTCCAACATCGTGTGGTTCTCCAGGATCGTCGTGAAGAGGACCTTGCCACCCTCCTTCAAGATCAGCTTGGTGGTAATCATGTACGCCTCCCAAACATCACTAGTGATAAAAGGTGGGTCGGCCACCACATAATCAAATGCGTTCATGTATTGAATCGGGATACGCTCAGGATAGTGAAAGTCATACTTTACAAACCCAGGATCCTTTTCCCAGTGTGGGTCAAACTCAAAGAGCCTACTATTAGATCGAAGACGACGGAGCTGTTCGTCCGTCGCGTCGTCTTCGTCGCCGTTGCGGTGATCCAAGGCGAAGAAAAGCGACGGTGTCGAGAGGAAAGCACAGCTCATTGCATGGTGTTGGATCTCACTCAAGAGGGTTGCAATGGTCTTGGGGGAGTACCAGTACTGGTTGAGCTCCGCTTTGCTATCTGAATTGTCGAAATCGACCTTCATCATCTTCGAGAAGACTAGTAAAGTCGGCGTAGATCACTTTTAACCTTTTTTTTTCACTTTTGTTGACCGCGTAATCTGGTCGTCTGATTGTCGGTTTGGCTTTGATAAGCATACACAATATAGGTAAAAGAGAAATAGTGTGGAATGGAAAGAAGAAGCTCCAAGGGAGGTGGTATTTTATTTTCAGATTGCAATCATGCATTGTAAATAAGGGAAGTGGAAGGAAAAATTTTCCCTTCACGTCCCTCGGGCTCACTTGCTCGTAGGAAAAAGAGTGGCCTCATAGTAACATTAGCGAGACTTTCCCTCCTCTGTATTAATTGAATTTAGCCTACGAAATGCTAAAGGAGGATTCATGAGGAAATAAATCTATCAAACGTGCGCGTATTAACCGAAGTAGAAGATATTTGTGCACAATACGGGGGAGAGGGGAATATCCAACTTTCACCCTCGCTCGTCGGTCTTCCAAGAGACCACAGTAACTTCTAATTATCTTGCGCAAATACCTATGCATCTATCTATATGATAATATGTATTTTGTCTCTAAGCATTTTCCCCTCCCATTCAAAAGCAGCGCGCTGGGTCTCAATATAAAATAAAACAACTGGCGACTCGTTCAGCATGTAGAAATCTATATCCCTAAAAAAAAAAAGAAATATCTATATACCGATAGATAGATAGATCGGATGACTCGTGTCATAATATCAGGAGGGAAAAACAATACGCATCGCATACTCTACTTTCTCATGACGAATGCACCGAAGCTAGAAACGTGGTAACCAGTGCCTCTAGAGCAGATACCTTTTCTGTAGGGATCACACACACCTGTGTGTGAATCTCATGAATCCAAAAAGGAGCTCTACCAAATGCAAACAACATAGCGAGTGGGATATTGTGTGACACTCTCTTCAATGCTTCACAGCTATCAGAGCTCCTCTAGGCTTGCGACTAAGCGTTTGTAATACACCAGTGCATCCAGAGGAGGCGGTCGTCGCGAGTCCACGGCCCTCCCCGCACTATCCTTCTCGAACGCATAGTGCTGCCGCAGCCTCGGGAAAACCTCCTCGAGTGGGCCCTCGATGTCGTTCAAGTCCACGATCTCTTCCCTTTCGTTGGTGCCAGCCCCCCGGCCCATCGCCTTTCCTTTTTGGCCCGGAAGCGCCCTGGCGTCGTGGCGGCTGGCGTTCGTGACGCCCAGATGCCGCCACGCGTAGCGCTCCCCGAAGACCTCCTGAAAGACCCGTAAAAAGACCGTGTAGAAGTCGAGCATCGCCCCTTCCACGGGGTCCGCGCAGCGCGCCATCACCCGCTCCAACGTCCGCGTCGGGGAGGGCCGGGTGGCGGAACAGCCCGCCGCCGCTTCCCCGCGAGGTCGCTTTCGCTGCGTTTCCCGCCACGGCTCGCGATGACGAAAACGCGAAGGCGGCAGAGGCGTCTCCGGAAGCCCCGCACGATGCCCACACGCGCAAACGCCCCCGGGCGAGAGCGCCCGCCCCGGCACGGCCTCACGCGGGTGAAGAATGCGGTAAATCACGGAAAGAATCCCTTCCATCGGGAGCACCCCGTGATCGCGTCGGTCGTAGCCCTGCAGGCGGCGAAGAATGCGGCCGGCGTTCTCCCGCAGCCGCGCGCGGACGCCCGCGGGGGAGTCCGGCGACGGCGTCTCCCCCTCCTCCCCTTCCTCGAGCCGCCGCCAGCGCGCCATTTCCTCCTGTTTTTCCGCCTCCTCGTCTTCCTCTCGCGCGAGGCCGGCCGTGGGGTCCGTCGGGGCGGTTGGTTTATGCGCGGAAAGATAATTTAGAAGGCTTTCCCGGGTCCGGCGGACCTCGATCTGCGCGCGCGCCACGAGCTCCCGGACCTCCACGCTGATTCGCTCGGAAGGGGTGCCGAGGAGGTCGGCGACGGCGCCCGGGGAATCCCCCATCGCCGCATCCAACGGCCGACGCGGCGGCGTCGGCGTCGTCGACGGGGGTCGTAGAGCGGAGGCGGGGGGGTAAACCACCTCCCTCACT